TATACCTATTTATGATGTATTTATGGCATCGGACCGACTCGTGCTCAAGTTTGTTTCGCTCAAGTTCGAACAGTCTTCCATCTAGTTGCTTCGGTTACTTCGTGTTCCGATTGATTTTCTGTCGGCAATTTCTGCATCTCTTTTTCAGGATTCCTTCCTGTTTCTTATTTTTTGGTGGATGATATCTGTGGTTTTGCTTTTTTGGGTATTAATAGAGAGGGATTTGTTGGTATTTAAATAAGCATGTTTGAACGTAGCGCAGTTAGGGGAATTCGATTCCCGTGGTGGGCTCTTTGTTTTCGTTGGTTCGGCCGGGAAATGCGCGGCCGTTTTCGATCGTAGATCGAGTTATATTTAAGCATATTTACATCGCGCCACGAGCGAAGACGCGATGCCACGCGAGTCGTAAAGCTTCTTCGAGGATTCTCTGCCGTAAAAGAGATAGCTTTGATGTTTGAAAAGTGGGAGAGAAAAAGGAGATTCGATGTTTCAGCTCGAATAATATTTTCATTCTATTCTTTGGGTTTTGTGACTTTATGCTGCTTCTTTTCAATTCTTCGTCCATTTTTTTTTTTTTTCGTTAAGGAAGATTAACGTAGATTTGAAAATAAAGGATCCAGACCGATCTGTCTTCTAAAAATACGGGCTGACCTGGTCCGACTTTTTTCCTCTCTGCCAACTCTACGGAGCTAATCGCTATCTTCGTACATTAGCGGGAACCAGTGTATGGATTCATTTATCTTGCTGGTTCTTCTGTTTCGTGAAACAGTAAACTACTGGAAAAGCTGCGCTACTAGCCAAAACTTTGGGACCACTTATCAATTTACAGTGATATCGAATCTGTTACTGATTCTTCGCCGACTTGCAATTAGCGTTGAAAGGATCAATACTAGTGTACTTCCATTTGGTAGACTTCTGTGATGAAGGATTAATTGAAAATTTCTCGAATTTCTTTTTTTTATATTACGATGCACGGTGGTCCTAGATTTTCAAAATTTAAGACTCTATTCGAAAAAGGAAGAGTGGAAAGAGGACCAAACGAAGGAATATTTAAAAATCCATAAACCATAATTGCAAAGAATCCTTGCATACCTTGCAAAGCACGGTGGTCCCAAATTTAAAAAATTCAGTTTCCATTTAAAAAAACTCGAAAATTGGCAAAAGGACCAAAGGAAGGAATATTCAGAAATCGTCGATAAAAATTTACAAAGCATAATTCCAAAGAATTCTCTCGCACCTTGCAACGCACAGTGGTCCCAAACTTTCAAAAATTCAGTTTCCAGTTAAAAAACTCGAAAATTGGCAAAAGGATCAAAGGAAGAAAGCAAAAACCGAAAGAATATTTAAAAATTCCAAATTGCACGCGTTCACTGTGCAATGCGTTCGAACTCCCCGAAAGAAAGCAACAAAAAGGCGATCAGAAATTCCGAAAATAATCCTTTCAGATACTCCATTCCGTTCACTTGGAGGCGCAACAACAAACGGACCAACAGACGCGAATTTCACGAGATTAGCGGTTCAAGTGGAGTAAGTGCAGTATGGGCGCGGCTGGCAGTAGTAGTGGCGGACCAGGCCCATCGCCACCCTCGAGGGAACAGGGCGGGGGAGCAGCGTTTGTCTACGGGACAGAGGAATCCTTCTCTCCGGAATACGCGAACGAAAATATACGACAAAGGACGAGGAGCAGCGTGTTCGACGTGGGTGAAGAACCCCGATCGCAGGTTAAATTTAAAACGAATATTTATCAGCTTTCGGTGCCCGCGACTGCTTAGCGACGAGAAAATACTCGAAACTCTGTGTCTTTCAGCCACGGATTTTATTTTAATTCACCGGGAATATCTTCGCAGGGTCCGAGTCCTTACGCGACCTTCAGAGGCGAAGAATGGTGGAGTCAAAGACCATCTGCCCCGAGTCTGTCCAATTTACGGCCTCCGCCACGCGAAACTCTGGTAAGCGTCGCTTTTCTTTGTCTCTGTGCGTGGTTCATTGATTTGCGAAAGTACAGCTTTGGTAATTTCATTAATGCTTTGAAGAATATTGTGTAGAAATTTGAAGTAAATCTTCAGAGTAGTTTTTGAGATACACCTTCGTCATCACCAGAAATCCTTTCTTTCTCATTCGAATCTGTTTAAGATATCGATTGTAAATTTGGAACTTTGATTTTTTGGAATATCGAATGAAAATCGTGAAATGAATTTTTTTTGGCTCTCTAGAATAGGAGAGAATGAGCTGAAGTGGGGTTTTTTTTCGAAAGTATAACTTTTCTGACATTTTGAGAATTTAGAATTCTTATTTTCTGGCTGCTCCAAAGTCTCAAACTACTGAATTTTCATCCGAGGTTTCCCTTCATTCACGAATCTACGGATAAGAGAAATTTCAATTTGACAAGGTGAGATAAATCAAGCCTCTTTGATCTGACACGTTACTTTTACGACCGTAAAAATAACACAACGAAAATTATGGCATTGGATTTGTCAGATTCCATTAGAGCAACCCAAGGTTACAATAATTCGATCGTTCGCTGTGTTTAATGCATTGGAAATTCCAGAACGACGATATAGATGCTCGTAAGTAGAAAGTAGAACGTAAACAAGTTCGTAAATGAAATGCAAATTCGAGAATTGCGAAAGTAGAGGTGACAGTTGTTTGTCCATTGTTACTTGATCGATTACAAGATTCCCTTCTATTTTATTCATTACTTCGCATTCGCTGTATTTCTCTGTTTTCAGATATTCCTTCAACTTCCTGTGTTTTCCCGAATTCAACTCTTTCACAATTTATTAAACGTGTCTTCGTACAAAAAGTAGATTCATATTTACTCGAAACAGAACGATTTAGCACATCTTTCTCCAGAATCATCGTGCTTCTCTTTCATGACTCAACGTCGGAACCTCTAAATAACACATCCTTCAAGCTTCCACTCCACGGATTCGAAAAAAGACCACTTGATCCTACAATAAATACCTCTTGCATCACTTCCTATTAAAAGATCGCGTAAATCGAAACTGCCAGTCCGTTTCGATTTCTGAGAACCGCGAGAAACCACCTTCGACTTCCATGCATCGCGCGTTCCCCTTTTCGGAAAACAATCGCGAGCAAAGTCCAGATAGCAGGATCTCGCGGTGCTTTTGTTCGGGAAAGCCGTCGTGGCGTCGAAAATTTTCCGGAACGTGTCTCTCTTTTGTCCCGCGGAAAAGCTGGCGTGTGTCCAGAAAAGCTCGCGGGCACTTGGTGATTTCGGGAGAACACGCTGAGTCACGGCCACCGCGACGAGAGTTCTGCTAGGCCGAGCATCGTCGATGATCGCGATCACGTGCCCCAAAGTGTCTCGAGTTCCTTTGGGGAACGCGTCTTAGCCGCCAGTGCACTCTCGTGGATCGTTCGACGTGGACTGAGCCCATTTTTCGGTAGCTCGTCGACGATCGATCATCGACTTCGTCGCGTTTATACATGGACAGAGAAAGCTCGAAACGGTTCTCGACTCGTAACACGATTGAAGAAAGACCGAGGATACCTTGAACGTTACTTTCTACGAATTTTCCTTGGCGTTCGACGATACTTTTTATACGTAAGTTTTCGCCTGGAGCTTGCGAGGTGAACGCGGCGAATTTAACGAGTTTGCTTGAGAATTGAATTGTTGGGAGAGGGTTGATTAATTTTTTGAGGAATTCTTTGGCACTTGCTGCTTTCGTTGTTCTTTCTCCCGAAGAGAGGGGGAGGAGTTGAATTTAAGAGATTTCTTAAGAAGGGGGTTAATTTATTTTTTTGACTAAGTGTCTTTCTGTCTTGTACAGAGGCGAGGGAATTTGCAAAGACAATTTTCGTAGAGATTTCAAATGTCGACAAGTACGTTGATTCAATTATTTCATCAAGTTTCTTTCATCGCGAAAATTTTCTCTGTCTTGAGGCGAAGGAATTAAACGGAACAAGATTCCTTTGCAAACACGATTTTCGCAAAAATTTCAAATCTCGACGAGAAGTGTTCAATTTTCTTGAACACGAAAATTTTGGCACTCTTCACCGCTCTTTGTGCGTGGCCTTTCATTCAGTGAAACCTATTCTCCTGTTTCTCGAGAAGAGACAAGGCAACGAAACGTGGCAAGCTTCCCCCAAAATTTGAATCGACGTTCATTACCATTAAATCTTCAAACTCCTTAATTCTTCGTTAACTTCTTTATTACGAAAATCGCCGCAACAGGGTGACAAACAACGAGCTCTCCCGGGCGCAATGCAAAAGAGAGCAACGCGCCACGTAACCATTCCTTGAACCAGAATTCCGATCGACGATCGACCGGGTTCAATTAGCGCCTCTGAAATTAGTCCATTTATTTATATGTGCAGTTGACGTACGCCGCGCAGATGACAGGTTGGCAGACGGCCGAGGGGCACAGCCCTTCGTTTTCTCACCAGCACCAAGAGGCAACGGAGCTGTCTAAGGTGATCTCTCAGCTCGCGATGGCTAATCAGCAGCTAGCCACAGCTCACACGTCCACTTTGGCTCATTTGGAAGCGTTGTACGTGGAACTGGAACGCGAAAGAGAATTTCGAAAACGTACACTTTCCTCCGAAACGTTGGACGATGGTCTGAAGAAGAGGCTGAGCATCGAGCACGAGCGAGAGGACGAGGACGAAGAGGAGAGACGGCGAATGGAGGCTAGAATCGAGAGATTGGAGAACCTGTTGACCGACGACGTAGACACTTGTCAGAACAGACAGAGGAATCTTCGTGTGGAGGAGGACAGGAAGCTCAGATCGAGGATAGAGAGGTTAGAGAGCGTGATAAAGTCTCGCGGATTGGACAGAGAGGACGAGAGACAGAGGCTCGCGATTGTCTGTGATTCAACGGAGGCGCAGAGTTTGTCGGAACGCCGACAGATAGACGATGTCGCGCGTAACAGGCTCCCTAGCCGCACCGACGTACCTGAAGACAAATCTAAAACTCAGATCTCGATGGACGACGAGGTTAGAACTATTTCTATTCCTAGAATAAGCGTAACGCACGGGGATGATCAGGATCGAGACGCGAGGTCTCGCGATCAGATGGATCGTTCGACGGTGAATTTGCATTTAGAAAAGTCGAAGGAATATAGACAAGAAGGTGAAGAAGAGGAGAGATTGGCGGGGAAGGAAGTGCTCAGGCTGTCGGAGGAAGTTGAGAGACTGAAGGCTGAGCGATTAGAGTACAAGAGCGAAAACGTGAGGCTGGAGAGAGAGTTGGACGAGCAGAAGGCGATTGTCAGCAAGCTGACTAAGGATTGCGAGGTACTTCTTCGAGTGTTTCTTCATTTTTCCAAGTTTCGACATGTTGCTACGTATTTGGAAATGATCATTTTTCACAGGAGTTAATGGTGAGACACGAAGAGGTGGAATCAAGTTTGCAAGAACGCGGAGAAGTGTACGAGAAATTGATGACGAAGTTGGACGTTGCTACGAAGGAAACTGAAAGGTTACTGAAAGAAATCGACGCGTTCAACGCTCAGAAAGACACTGCCGATGCGAGGATCTCGAGTCTGGAGCAAGATCTGCAGAATTCGTTGTTAGAAATAGAGCAAATCAGGAACACTGAGAGCCAGAAGAGTTTGAAGTTAAAGGCGCAGCTGTCGGAAGAGATTTCTGATAAAAAGAAGCAGATTAAGGCTCTCGAGGACGCTTTGGCCGAGATTCAAAGACTGAAGGAGACTATCAAGACTGAGGGGAAAGGCGAGGATGATGACGATTCGAAAGAAGACGTTGGTAAGTCCAATTTAGATTTAAATATTCAAACATGCAAATTCACCCAATCGAAGCTCGCCAAAAATTCGAGTTCAATCTTTTTGAGTTCAAAGTGTCGTTTCTCCATTTCCGATAGTTCCAATCGAATCGATAGACGACCCACAGGAGAGCCCGCCGGCAGATCGCTCGGCGAACATCGAAGAATTCAAGAAGGAGTTAACTCTGAAGAGGGAAGCCAGACAGAGGGCAATTGCCGCCGTTTCGTCGGAAATGGAGCGACTCAGACGCGAATTAGACGCGGAGAAAGAGGCTCATTCGGAGACCTCGAGGATGTTGGACCTTTTAAGGTCCGCTCAGAACGATGCTCAAGCTGAGAAGATCGCGGCAGAGGAGAACTCGAAGAAATCGACGGAGAAAGATGAGAAACCAGACGAGGACAAGTTGAACGCGCAACTATTGGAGGCTCGACGATTGACGAAAATTCTAAAGGTAAATTCTGAGAAAGTATACACGAATTTTTGCAGCTTTTAGAAATTCAGAAGATCGAGTTGAAATTGTAACCTGAAATCATTTCATCGCCTGAAACTAGTTCTTTGTACTCGATTGTTTTCGAATATAGGCGAGACAGAAGGCACGTGCCGCGCCGGCACGTTTACACCCTCGATCTTTAAAACAAACAGAACGAGGAGAATGGAACAAAGAAGCGAGCGCTAAACCAACAGAGTACCTAAACACTCGGACAGATTCTACTTTCCATTGACCCTGGAACGACCAACAGATTTCGAACAGACTATATTGTTTCCTGTTTCACCTTTATTTCCAGACGTTTTCCACAGAAAGATACTATTTACAGGATACACTTTACGATGTATCAGGTGTAGAAATGAATTCTTTCCGACTGGATTCGCATAACTGATTCAGCGAGTTTCTGCCAGAAAAATGGCAAAAGGTTATCAAAGATAATAGAAAATATTTCGATGATTGATCTATTGTCATTCTTTTTAAATAAAATCCAGATTGCACCCAAAAGTCGCAAAGAATTCATTTCACATTTGTAATGTTTACCTAAGTGATTCCAACCAAAGAATTAAGCAACTCACCCTAAATTTCAGATAATGACAGAATACTCCCTCAACTGTCTCCTCGTCGAAATCATGCTCTGAGAATCCTCTAATATCAATTTCGATCTCTGAACGCCAGGTATCCGACGAGCTGAGGAACGACATCCGCATCCAAATAGACAAAGTGGACGATCTCCGTTATCAATTGGAGACCGAGCCCGATCAGCATCGCTACAGAATCCGTTGTCTATCGGACATTGCGAATCGGACACGCGAGGCGGTTTACACGCGCGAACGTCGTGCCAGCGAGTTGAAGGACCATCTCGCCGAGCTTCTGCTCGAGCTGAGAGACAGAAACTTCTCAGAGTTGAAGGACGACGTTGGACTGGAGTGCGAACGTCAGCTGGAGAACATCAATAGCCTGAAGAGCCTTTACAACGAGCGGCTGAAAGTGCTGAGCGAACTGAAAGAGGCGGCCTGCAGGGAGCTGGCGGAGACCAAGTCGAGATTGGACCATTCTCTCAAGCAGTGCGAGTGTTTCGAAGAGGATCTAAAGAAGGCTGACGAGAAGGTACTGGGAAATCATTTTCACGAGATAAAGACTTGGAATTGTTCTTCTTTGTGAGATTGCGACAGTTTGCTTTAAAATTTTTTGGCAAATTGCGAACATTTCCGGTCTATATTGATCTTTATTTTCTTCTTTGTGAGATTGCTCTTGTTGTGCATCCTGAAATTTATTCTAGATCTTGTGTATATTTGTGTTTGTCAGATCGACGCACAGGATACGGAGATAACGAATTTGGAGTCTCAACTGGGGCTGACCAAGGCGGATTGCAGGGATTTGCAGAACCAGATGTCGTTGATCAATGGTCTGTTCACGCAGATGCTGCTTGGTGCCACCTCTGCCGACATGGATCTCGATCGACTGACTCAGTTACTTCAGGTAGCAGTTGTTTGATTAATTAACGAACTTGCACGATGTTGCTCGTGTCGATACAGTCAAAACGTAACCTATTCGTTTTTAATTCACGACTGACACAAAATTGATACGCTCCCTTGATTGCAAGTTTTCAAATTTTTGTGAAACTATATTTCCTATATTTTGCTCCGTGTTAATTTTCAACTGAGACACCATCCTGGTATTTCGACTGTTTGTTCTCGAAGAAGAAAGAAAGAAAGACACTTCAGCGTTGTACGATCAAAGCTTTCAGTCGAATCACATTAACATCTCACCTTTCCACCAAGAAAATAACGATTCCGCGGCAACTTGGCGACTTCACATTTTCACACAGAGCCCGTAGACTCGAAAATGCGTATTAAATTTGAACGATAGCAATTACCGGGGCTCTTTGACATTTTAATAGGAGAATCACGATCTCATTTGCGACATGGCGAGAGAGGAGGGCACCGAAGCGGCGGCACTTCCCAAGCTTCTTCTCGATTTGATCGAGCAAGTCGAGGGCAGTAAAGGATGTCAGAGACGAGCCAACGGAGAGAATGGAGGCGAGGGTGAAACGGAGAAGAAAGAGGAGGATCTGCAGCAAGAGGACATAGCTCACAACCTGCCCAAGGTAATATTGAAGAATTTCATTCGTCGCCGAGTGAAACTCGAGGTATTTATCGTGAGCAATTTTCAATTAGGTCTGGCGTGTTCTCTTGGAATTGTTGAGCTGTCACGCGGAAGGCAATTCACCTGCTTTCGCCGAGCCATGCTCCGATCCTAATATTTGTTACAAATCGGTCGATACTCCGGCTGGTCCTAGATTAGTCATATCAGTTAGCAAAACGTACATTCGTTTGAAAGAATTGATATTGGAGAAGAAGCACTTGGAGAAAGAGATGAATCGAATGAAACAGCTGAATACCCATTTGGAAAGTAAACTTGGAGAGCAGGTAAATGTTTTGTACATTTTTATTTAGGAATGAAGGTGAAGCTCTTGAAAATTAAATAGAATATTGTTAATATCATTTTACACGTCTCCAGGAAAAGAGATTATCAGCAGTGTCAGTGGAACTGACTAAAACTTGGACCATAGTCGACCGAATGCAAGCTCAGCATCAACAACTGCACACTCACGAGAAGATCCTCCGATACGAGTTGCAACAGAAGCGTAAAATGTTGCAGGAGTTGAAGCAAGAATTAGAATATTGTCGTGAGAAATGGGAATCAGCTAGACAGAAGAACACGAACACTGAATTAGAATGGAGAAGCTTGAGGAGAGAGTTTGCTGCTAGAAAAGCTTTGGTTGCTCATGATTCGTTCAATAATAGGTAATGTAAAATTATCGATAACGTGTCTTTTGAAATTTTAAGCTTTCCTTTATTACTATTTATTACTTCTCGACATAGTGCTGAAAGTGGGTTCAGTGACGAACGAGGAGACGACACAGACGAAGAAGACAACGCTGTGGAGGAGAGACTAAGGCTAGGTCCACGCAGAAGACCAAGAAAGGTTCGAACTTAACCTCGAATCACTCGAGTATTTTCCTGTCTATCAGAATCTTCAATTTTTCTATCTACGAAACGTTCTTAGGAGAGTCCTCGAGTACCGTCACCAGACACAGAATCAGAACAACCAACAGATACAGAATTATCCTCAGCAATGTTGGAGCAGCGAACTTCTACTCCAGAAACGGACGGGGAATTGGACGAAACTGAAGGCACAGACTCTACTGTTAATACAGAATCCACGACTACGACAGAAACACCGGTAAGTGAAAACCTGTTTAATTTTCCATACTGAATTATCGATACTGACACAAGTTTTTAAACAGCTAATTCCAGAAAGTCCTCAAGAATCGCTGAATCCTCTGGACCAGGCTCTAACCAACGTCATTCAGAATCTCATAGGAATTGACGACAGTATCACGTCAACCTCAGAAGCCTTCACAGATCCAACCAACGAAATAATCGAGAAAGAAGATTCAACGTCAACAGTGTCTCACACTTTGGAGCCAATCGTCGAATCCTGGAGCACATCTGAACCAGACTCGCTAAAAATCACCAACAACGAAGATACCGAAGAAGCTCCTGAGGTTATCGTTGCAGAAAAAGAGGAGCAGCCATTGTCTATCGTTCCAGAAGAACAGGGACAGCCATCGATCATCGCTTCAGCAGAAGAAGAGAAGCCATTGCTCGCCGCAGAAGAAACTGAAACCGCACCAGAAACGGCCGGTGAGAAAGCAAAGAGCGAGGAACCTTTGAATTCGTCTGTGTCCCACGTACCCAATGTGATCAGTGCAGTCTCTATCACTCAGCCTGTGTTCTCCATCGGGCCTTTCCTCTCGTTTAACGTCTCACCTTCGACTGTGAAAAACGTCCAGTTCAGCGATCCGTTGATCGTTGGTCCGTCTAATCGATTTTTTGCTCCAGTTTTCGGTGCTTCCCTGTCCGACGAACAATTTCCACCAACTGTGGACGCGTCGACGTGTCATGAAGCCGAATCGAAGGAGAAAAGGTGTACCAGGACAGCGGAGAGCATCGTCGACTCGGACAACATATCTGTCGACTCGACTTCCAGTTTGGACACCGTCAAAGAGTTCTCGACGATCGAACCGGTGTCTTCGGGTCTTCCAAGTGAAACTGTTAAAGCGGAAACGAGTTCCTCCGAAGCTTCCGGCGGCTCGTCGAAGCAGGCAGAGAAGAAAGTAGCCGGTGCGAAGAGTAGAACACCGGAAGAAGCTTTAGCCGCTAGGGAAGACAGGTTGAAGAGGTTAGAGGAGCAGGCGAAATGGTTGATGAACAAGATGAACGCTACCAGTAGAAGAGGTTCTGCTTTGAGTACCAGATTGGAGGAGCTTCACGAAGTTTATGGAGAACCGCCTGTTCCTCCTCCTATGCCTGACGTCCTGCCTAGTCGAAGGTTGAGGACGAATTTGTCGGATCTACCTCGTCAGGTGAGAATATTGTTTCGTAATTCGCCGTGTTTACACTTGGATCGAATTCCTGTTTTCACGTGAATGACGCGTGTTACGAGTTTAGTCCATTCACGTGACGACAATTCACCGACGTTCTCCTCGCGTACTGTTCTATTTAAACGTGACCCTGTCTCACGATGACTCGGCTGTTTACTCGCGAAATTATTATATTCCTACTATTTTCATTTCCTCATTTTGGATAAATACGTTTCTGTCCTTATTTCCTACCTTCTTATTTCTCTATGTGTTATTGTCTTTTGCAGTTTCACCGCAACTTTTTTACACTTTCCCTATTTTGTTTTTATTTCTTTTGTTGTTACTTGTGTCGGGTGTCTGACAATTGCATTGTTGTCTAGGTACCTGAATCATCGACCACCGAGGATGCTAAAAATACCGAGGAGCCAGTCTCGAGCGGCGATTCCAACGAATCATCGTCGAATAACGCGCCTTGAGACGCCCATGATTTTTTAATTGCACGATTACACCGCGTTTATTTCCGTCGAGCACGGAAACGTGTCGAACATATGCTGTTTCGACGGGGAAAACGTGTTGGCTCTCGTGTCACCGCGAGAAATTGCATAATTTCGAACGAGTCAGTCCGTTTAGACTCGTCTGTGACGTAAAAAGGCTATCGTGTCTCTTATCATTCACGAGTTAACTGTATTTCTCTCGTTTAATTTGTTTCATGCACGTTTTGTAACGTATGAGAGACTTTGAAACGTATCATTGATTCAAAGCTATTCTTCGTATTCTTCTCTTCTTTTTTCACGATCCACTATTTTTTATTATCGATGTGTCGTACATTTTTATCGATGTAAGTAACGTCTCGTTGTTCCTAACCGAGAATCGAAATGTGATCGCTCGCGAGTCCGTTCCTGTTTTGTACCTTTTACGAATTGTACCTACTAATTTCGCTGTATAAATAAAGAATCTGTAAAAAAAACGCTAGCTACGAAAAGTTTCACATTATCTAACTATGAAAGAAAACCCGAGAAAAGGTAAGATGGTCAAAAAACGAAGATCCGAGGACGATTGTTTCGTTGATGGGATCGATATGATTTATTTTGAAATAATTAACAATTCTCAGGGTGTAAAACTTTTCTCGTCAATGTCTCCCGCCGCTCGCATAATTGTGTCGCTACGCTATATGTATACGATAAGATATGTATAATATTCACAAGGCTCCTCGCACTCCGTGGATATAATAAAATTCGTACAAAATCGTTTTGTATAACAAAAAAGAAGAAAAAAGAAAAAAGAAAAAGAAAACAGCTCTAGGTACGCTAAGTTCTCAACTTTTTTTTCTTTTCATTTAACGCGCGCTCTTCTTCGATTGTTCATCGTCGTACGACGATCGCGAAAGGCACACACACATCGTATCTCTCAGAGAACGTGCTCGGTTAAGAAATTAGAACGTTTCTGGGAGTACAATTTCGGTCGGTCAAACCGAACGTATCGTTTAAAAAATACTTCTTCGTCATGCTTAATTATCTTACGCTTCTTTACAAATGAATCCTTATGAAAGACACGCAAATCCACTCATTCACACGCTCGTCGCACATTCACACCTAATGATTGTCTAACTGTATCATGCACGTTGTCCGTGCTCGCTAATTGATGATAATCTCTTACGTTACTCTCATCTATCTACAGACTTGTTATTATCCTAGTATTGGCCGTCTACATTTTTTTTTTTTTTTTTTTGATCGGTTAATCTCATTCGTAGCAACTCGTACCATCGTAGGAAAATGAAAGAAAGAAACGAGAAAAAAAGAAAAGGTCTATATACGTTGTCAACGCTGCATCACAATACAAAAACCGTACACTAACTCGTGGTTAATCGCTAAAAATGATAAAATTACGATGATACGATAGAAACATGGTTGTATGTTGGCACGCTTCGAGAGGACTGGTTTAATACAAAAATACGGTACAAGCATGTTCCAGATGAAACAACTCGGAACACTGTATAAGATCTCTTCTTTCACACGCATAGCGTTGCGTTGTGCGACAAAATGGCTTCTAACGATGATCCGGCGCGTTAAGCGTAGTGCTTCTAAAATCTACACATTTTCGACAGAATTTTCACAAGACCGTCCTCCCTCCTCCCTACAATACGATTCTCCAAAAGAATAATAAATTACTCAGCTCGTGATAAGGCACTCGGTAGTTCCGTGAATTTTGTACAAAATACTCTATACCCTATAAACGACGTAGAATATCAAACGGCACACATTTGAACTCTCTATCTTTCTCTATTTAATACGTATCACTTCGATTGCTTAATCGTTTCTTTAAATCACCGAGAATGTCATCCATTGTTAGGTCACGGTTCTATGTGATAATAGTTCGTTCAAGCGATCGGCTGCTGGCTGGTTTTCTTAACAAGTACAACATACAAATCCTCCCTGTAAAAACTGACGATAAAAATTCCTCTCCTTTTTCCTTTCTTTCTATCAAAAATACAAAAGTGTCTAAATCTCGACGCAGGCGTTCCTCGCGCTCCTTTTTCTCAAACGACAGTATGAAAATAGTACAATTAGAAAATATATCTGTATCTTTATGCTTAAACAACGGCTCACTGAATCATCTGCAAGTATCTGTTCTCCTCGAGCAACGAGCTCAAAGACGACGTCATGTCGTTCACCACCATATTCGCGCTGGATGGCAACGGTTGAGGTAACGACATAGGATGAGTCGAACTGGATACGTTCGTCTCGTGAGTTTGAGCGTTACCCGACCAGTTTCTGCACTGTTGCACATATTCCAGCGTTCTTCTGTACGAGTCCTGTCTCATCCCTTGCGGTGGCTTCATAGGAGATCCCTGTTGAGACTGACTGATGTCTCTACACTGAATCTCCGGCATGGCTGCACCTGATTGCTCGTGATAACAATGCTCGAAGCCCCATTGACAGTTGCAGTTGTACGGTTGATGACTCGGAGGATTGCTTCGAGCCTGACAATTGTGCGTGCAAGTCTGTTGCATCCTGCAGTTTGTCTGCTGAGCGGTGCACAATTGCGGAGATGTCCTCTTGGGTAGACTGGCGTCTGTCGCCGGTCGATGAGCGCCGCTTGGATGGCCGCAATTAGGTATCTGCAGGCAAGGAGTGGTACTTTGCTGCTGAGCTTGCTGTTGGCAGCCCTGGAGAGCGGTCATGTTGGTCATCGGTTTGGCCTGGTTGTTCATGTTCAACTGGGAACAGTGTGGAGACATCTGAGCACACTGGTTCGACACGGTTGTCTGTTGACCGGAGTGCAAAGTTGAGACTTGACCGTTGGGTGTCACTATCGGCCTGGTACACTGACTGGCTACTTGGCCACATTGAGGGTTAGGATGGTTCATGGTGGTTTGATTAGGTATAGTTGGCTGTTGAGTACAGTGCGGAGATAGTTGTTGACAATTGCCAGCTGTACGCATCTGTACGCACTGTTGCTGAGTCATGGTACCGTGATTTGGTGGGGCACAAGTGGGGTTCGTGTGATGGTTCACTTGGTTGCTCGGATTTCCCGTGCAATTCGCGTTCATCTGTCCTTGGCAAACGTAATTCGGGTAGTATCCGTGATGCATGTGGTTCTGAGGACAGTTCCTGGTCAATTGAGCGGAGTTTTGAGGAAGATTCTGAGGTGGATGAGGAGGTGCCAGGGCTCCAGCGGCCGGCGATGTCAGAGGTTGATCGCTGATGTGACTGGGCGCGTAATGTGAACCCGGTGACATGACTTGACCCGCTGCTGGACTGAGCACTGGTCCGCCGTTCGGCTGCGCGGGATAGTTAGGTGGAGGACAGTACTGTGAGTTAGGTTGAGTAGGTCGCGAGCTGGGACACTGGTTGTAGGGAGACGGTGAGGTATTCTGGTAGTTTGTGCAGGTTGGTTGAGCAGGTGGTTGTTGTGGGTAGCAGTTCTGTTGGTGAGACTGGTTGTAGTTGCAGGTGGCTTGTATTTGACGCTGATAGTGCAGAGAATTGGTGCAGATCGGTGATTGGCAGATAGGAAGGGGACTGCTGCGGTAGTTGACTTGAGTTCCACCTGCCTGAACCTAGAAGAAAAAGACAACGTCTCAATAAAATAGCCCACACGGTTGTACAATATAATTTACCTTGAAGTAACTTAGGTATTGCGTATATACCTGATTCAAGTACTGCATCATTTCATCAGGAATTACCAACTTATTCTCCACCATTTCACCTTCTCCAACCTCGTCCAGAATAACCTCTTGATTAGGATGATGTTCTGGAAGCTGAGCTGACCTTGGCCTGGGTGGCATAGGTGGCGAATTCCTTTGGGTCTGATGACCCCTGGTAGGCTCTGACATACGTCGATCACCGGATGGTTGAGTACAATGGCCACTCGGACCATTCCAGTCTCCAGGCATACCTTGAATGCCCTAAATTCGCAAAAATCGAACATCGAATTAACCACTTTGCAAAGAGTATCTACTAATCGAGACAATGTAAAATATCGAGAGATCGCCTTCGTACCTGAAGAGACATATTCTGCGTCTGAACGACGAGATTGCTCGTCGAGTAGGGTCCCTGAAGATGACTCGGTGGGTTGATTCTGCCGGAAGTGGTGCTCATCTGACTACTTCTTCTCGATGTTCCTGGACTGATGGGATCGTAGAAGCTTCCAGGTCCTGTTTGACCCATTCTGACAGCGCTGACCCCGCTAGCCTGGCTGCTTCTTCTGCTACCGAAGTCTGTCGACTTCATGCTGCCATAATAGGTGCTCACAGTGCTGTTGCTGTCTCTTCGAGGCTCGCTTAGAGGTTGAAGCCTGAGCTGGAGGTCGGACAGACTCGTCTGACGAGCAGGTCCGCCACCCTCCATCTTCAGGTCAGTGATCCGCCTGTTCAGGTCACCGATGTTACCCTGAGGACCCATGCCACGTGTCCCCCTCATCCCGGACACGCTGACAGGCAGGCTGGGCATGCCTTTCGCGTTCAGTCTGCCTTTCAGACGGTTTCTCGAGGCGGGAGGTGGAGGCTGTTGCTGTTGCTGCGACTCCATTCCACCGACCTGTGCAATTCATTCGGATAATTAATTTGGGAAGGGGTTAATTTTCTGTGCTTCGAGTTTGACACTGTGGATTTGGAGTTTGACGCTGTGACCAGCGTTTTCACGATCTTATACCCTCGATGGATCGTCTATGAGATTCATTATATTTCAGAGAGTAGTTTTGCATTTTACTTTAATTATTCCGAATGCTGTAATTGAACTGTTATAATTATTCACAGGTTCCAATATTCCACTGTCTTTTATATTTTACATTGCGACTTTTAAAAGCATTTCTAAGTTATCCAAAGACTCACCATGGCACGAAGAGCAACAGGAAGATCAGCGATGTCCAGGTCGTCAGGTTCCTCGTTCCAAGGTTCTTCAGCCAGAGCCACGCCATCGCCAGTCAAAGCACTGACTCCAGCAACTTCGTCGTTGCAGCCACCTACGAGTGGACTACCTTGCTGCTGCATCATGCTAGGTGGACTAT